GTTCAACTTTATTCTTTGCATGTGGATATCCCATTGTCCCAGCACCATTTCTTGAAAAGATTATTCCCAGCACCATTTCTTGAAAAAAACTATTCTAACTATGTTGAACATCTCAGCACTCTTGCTCTTGTTGAAAATCACTTGATCATAAGCCTTTACAGTTTATTCCTGGACTCTCCACTCTATTCCATTGATCTTCATTGATCAGTAGAAACAATTCACTCACGTTTGCTTGCTCTCTCCTATGCCACCACAGTAATCGACTCTTCTTTAATAGGTACTGGGTTTTCTTAAAAAAAAAAAAAAAAAAAATTACATTTTTTTATTCCTACCTCTTTTCATCATCTAATATATTCTTGCTTCCTTAGCCTTTTCTGAGTATAGCTATCAGGAAAATGCTTGTAAGGCAGTGCTTTCATCATGTTGCTGTGAGCAAAGAGTAGTCAGTGGCTCCCTACCATAATTGCGTATGAAGGAAACTCCCCTGCCTCTGTCACCCAGGCTGGAGTGCAATGGCATGATCTCAGCTTACTGTAAAGTCTACCTCCTGGGCTCAAGTGATCCTCCCACTTTAGCCTCCTGAGTAGCTGGGACTATAGGTGTATGCCACCAGAAAGTGCTGGGATTACAAATGTAGCCATTGTGCCTGGCTGCCCTGCCTGCTCTGAAGCACATCAGATAGACCTGCCTGGCTCTCCATACTTAATTCTCTCCACTCTTTAACTCACATTTTCTTTTCCAGTCAGGCCTGTTTCTTTTATTCTAGTTATCACATCTTCATTCCCATCTTGTGCCTTGATTTCCACATTGAGTTTTCTTTGCTTTTTTTTTTTTTTTGCCAGTTGTATTAGTCCATTTTCACACTGCTGATAAAGACACATTCAAGACTGGGTAATTTATACAGTAAAAAGGGTTTAATAGACTTATAGTTCCACATGGATGAGGAGGCCTCACAATCATGGCAGAAAGCAAGGAGGAGCAAGTCACATCTTACATGGATGGTGGGAGTCAGAGAGAGAGCTTGTGCTGGGTAACTGCTCTTTATAAAACCATCAAATCTCATGAGACTTACTAGCACAAGAACGGCATGGGGAAGACCTGTCCCCCCGATTCAATTACATCCCACTGGGTCCCTCCCATAACACGTGGGAATTCAAGATGAGATTTGGGTGGGGACACAGCCAAACCATATCACCAGTTTAAGTGAACCGTTAACATTTTAGAGCCTTTAATATCAACCTGAGGTATATATCTTTCAAGTATGATTTCTTAAAAGAATCACTTCTGCATCATTCATTTTGCTACTTAATGGATGGCCTAGTTCTGATTTTTGGAGCGTCTATGTCTGTTAACATTGAAAATCCTGTGCAGGGTCCTGCCTTCCGTTATATAACTATTTTAGCTACCATTTCTTTCTATTTATCATTTAAGTTCTCTAAGGGCAGAGATCATTTTAATCCTCTCATGGGGCTAAATATGAAGCTGACTTTTAGTATCTAAAGGTCTGCAGTCCCTTAATCAGAATCTTTGGGGGTCAAATGTGTTTGAGAAATCAAATTTCTTTCAGATTTTAGAAAAGCAATAAGGTGCATCATGTACCTTGGTTCTTAACACCCCCAGCAACATCTGGAATAGCACTTTGTAATCAAATATATTAAATTTTTTGCTGTGAGACATATTTTCCAGTGGGGGTCTAAGGCAGGATCTTGCATTTAAAGATTTCTATTTCTATAGCAAAAAAATGATTATTCACACTAAAGTGTGATAAAGGCTAAAAATAGTCTCCTGTTGGTTCAGGTCAGGTATGCTCTTGCTACCAAATGAGTTATGATGAAATGTAGTTTGGATTGAGTTGGGTTTCGGAATTGTGGATAATGGATTGTGAAGCTTCACTGATTCTTAGCGTACTCTGTTTATAGAGCTGAAAATGAGATTCTTCTTTTGTGTACTGCTCTGTGCCAGTCTAGAGTTCTCTTTTGGTGCTCTTAGCTTCAGCATCTTCTTCCCATCTATTTTTCCTGTACACTACTTTCCTCATGTCAGTCCTCTGTTCCCAAAGTTTCAGTGTTTTACTATTAACTGTCCCCAGTGTGCCTGAGAAAAGAAGCTACTTTTTCATACCGTTAAAGTCCCAAAGTTATTGCAGAGAAGGTGTGATAGCAATGTACTTAGTGTTGATCTTGGGAAGAAAGCATTGCACTCCTTAAACCATAGTCTTCTCTGCAGGGAATACTAAGGGGTGACCATGTGATGTGGAGGAAGCAGGGCATTGTGCTGGCATTCAGCTTACAGAGTTACTGATGAGGTTTCAAGGTCTTGGCCTGGAAGAATTTAGACATTCTTGGCCTGCAAAGAGGTTTCAGACTCATCCAAGACCTCCTATAATCTGACTCCAGTCTAACCCCTCAGACTGAGTCACTGTTCCTTAGATTTAGGTTTTATTTTGTTGTTTAAACTTGCCTATTGACCATCCCATGAATAACATACTCTATGTGCTTTTCTGGCTTCATACATTTTTCCCAACATTTCTTTTAGTGATATTTTTCTTGTGTATTTAATCTTACAATACCCTATTGGAAGATTTGGTAGTATTCTGAAACTGGAATTGGATATGACTTGTTTACAGGCTCATGATTTTTGTTTTGTGTTGTGTTTTGAAATAATCATGAGTTTTTCGTGCTCCGATGCCTGGCAAAGTTGCCAAAATGAAGCCACATTAGATATGCCACATTTATTTAGAGACATGTATGGTAAGAACTAGGGATCTTAGAATATTGGAGCTGGACATTACATTGTTAGTATACTGTTTTATAAATCAGATAGCTCAAATCAGCAAAGTTCCAGAGAGGTAAAGTGTCTTGCTTTAGACACACCACTTAATAGTGGTGGAACCAGAACTCGATTATTTTTCTTGAAAGTTTTAAAATCCCATGTTTTTTCTTTTTGGTGTTAGAGGTAATACTTTCATTGGATTTTTTTTCCCCTCTTCTTTTAAGTAAATTTAATACTCCTGGATTTGGAAAACCTCTTCCTACCTGGTTTCAAGCCATAGGAGAAAAAAATTACTCTGCTTCAAGGTGCCACATTAGTAAAAGTAGGATTTTGTAGGCCGTATCTGATTAATCAAATGATCAGAATAGTCTATGAGTAGAGATTAGATAGCATCTTTTATTTTATTTTCCCCTGAGACAGAGTCTTCCTCTGTGACCCAGGCTGTAGTGCAGTGGTGCTATCTTGGCTCACTGCAACCTCTGCCTCCTAGGTTCAAGCAATTCTCCTGCCTCAGCCTCCCAAGTAGCTGGGATTACAGGTGCTCCCCCCAACCATACCTGGCTAATTTTTGTATTTTTAGTAGAGACAGGGTTTCCCCATTTTGGCCAGGCTGGTCTCAAACTCCTGACCTTGTGATCCACCACCACCTTGGCCTCCCAAAGTGCTGGGATTACAGGCGTGAGCCACCATGCTCAGCTGTTTTGTATTTCTTATTGCTAACAACAAACCAATTTAAATTATGCTATTAGTGTTTCAAGCTTAGTAAGTTTAAAGCATACTAAGGACTCAGCTGCATTCTGTTCCCCTATGTGCGTCTCCAACTTGAAGATAAGGTTAACCATGCCATGTGTGATTGATGGTGTTAAGTGCCGCACTTTATTTTTTTGTAAACCTCTGTTGCGTATTGATTGAATAAAAGCAACGCTGATTAAAGAAAATGCTGAAAAAAATAGATGCTAGTTTGAATTTATAAAATGAGAAATTAAGCTCCAGATGGAGGCTCTTAATTACCAGGGGAAAACAGGGAATTATCATCATTAAAACTCAAAGCTGAGGAGCCTTGGCCCTTTTGGGTATATCTGAATTTTCATGAACCAATTTTTGTTTAGGAAAACAGTCACCAATTGGGATAAATATTTAAAGTTTTCTAAAAATGGTGCCTCTCTCTTGTCACTGAGTTAGGGCTGTGTTTCCCACCAACCTTAAATGTCCTGCCTGTCAGACTGTACCTGTGGCAGAGTGCAAAGCCGTATGTGCTCTCAGTGGTGTATCAGCATTTTCTCTTCATCTCTGTCATCACATATTTTAGTTTTTGAGTGTGAAGCTAATGTAGATTGTCCTGTGCTCCTTGTTGGAAATGACCTTGGACAAGTCCCTTTCCATTCTGGGCAAGTTCCTCTTTTGAACTATGAAGTGCTTGCAAACTGTGAGAGTCCCTTTATTTTCTAAGATCCTGTGATTTGACTGAATATTTATTTATTTATTTATTTAGAGATGGAGTCTCACTCTGTCTCCCAGGCTGGAGTTCAGTGGCATGATCTCAGCTCACTGCAACGTCTGCCTCCTGGTTTCAAGCGATTCTCCTGCCTCAGCCTTCCGAGTGGCTGGGGTTACAGGTGTGAGCCACCACGCCCAGCTGATTTTTGTTTCACCATGTTGGCCAGGCTGATCTCAAACTCCTGACCTCAACTGATCGACCGCTTTGGCCCCGCAAAGTGCTGGGATTATAGGTGTGAGCCTCCGTGCGCAGCCTTGACTGAATACTTTAAAAACCAAGTAATTTTTCTTTGATGTAAAAAGAAATAACTATATCCATAACCAAAAAAAGGACAAAAGAATCGCAGCATTCAACAAGAAAAATCTGAACTTGGGCTTGAGTTTCCAGAACTTGTAGTCAAGTATTTATGTGGGTTGTGTGGGGATAAGATAATTCAGGGTAGATTTGTACAGTGTTACCTTTTATTCTTCTTTGTTGTTTTATTTTCCTTCTTATGTTTGATTGGTGTCACCATTTATTTTTTTGTATGCTCTTTAGCCACATGAGAGGGCATCTCTGTGTTTATAGAAGAAAAATGTGAATTTCATGTTGTACACAGCCCTACACTGGACACCAGGGTCTTTTAACTGTCCTAAGCTTCCTAGGAAGATATTGTCTATGTGTTTTAGTTTGCAATCAGACTGGCACAGGACTCGATATGCTCTGTAACTCTTCCTGTTCTGTTTTTCAGCTTGGATTTACATTGGGCAACGTGGTTGGAATGTATCTGGCTCAGAACTATGATGTAAGTGGCCATGTCTATGACCTCCTTGATTCCATGTAACTGTTTTAGAGTGACTTTTCTTTGTTTGAGGTAAGGTGTGCCTTCTAGCATAAATGAAGTCCGTAGGGCTGAGGAAAAATTCCCGAATGTTGTAGAGTGGTTTGCCATTGTTTGAAAAAGTAATCCAACTCATGAACCATCTGTCTTCCACATCACCACAAGAGGGCAAAATCCCTTCAGTTTAGCTGGCTTCATGATGATCCTCAGCTGTGGCTTAGTAGCCCAGAGTAATATTAAGTTGGGCTCTTAAAATTTTTTGGGAAATCATGTGATAAGTGAGAATTTAAAGATTAATTGGATAATCTTTTCAGCCCCACTACCCAGTAGTAGAGATGACATAGAATTTTGGAGATCTATATGGGTAGGGGGACTGAAAAATATCAATCTATATTCCATTTCAAAAATTCTAAGTGTAGCACATTTGAGGACAGAGTTTTGTGAAGTTGTGTTAACCTTACTTTATAGAGGGTGACGTTGACAAGCAGGTGGTGCAGTTGTCTATGAATGGGGATCCTGGACAGGTGTTTGAAAAAGACAAGCAAGGGAAACATGATATTAACTTGATTTATTTTGTAGTAAAGCTTTTAGTATGACAAAGGGAATTCCTTTTGTCAGCCTTCTTTTGAGTCATCTGGTTTTCTAGGCAGGGGCTTTATTATGTCACATTTATTGTTTATATGTACAACCTTTACTTGGCACCAGATCGAGCAGTTAAGTGGGTATACAAAAGTAGAAGTGGCTTTCAGAGAAGAAGCATACTTATCTGACAACTTCTGATATCTCTCATATGCAATTATGAGGCCAAGAAATAGCACTATTGGCCGGGTGCAGTGGCTCATGCCTGTAATCCTAGCACTTTGGGAGGGTGACGGGGGCAGATCACTTGAGCTCAGGAGTTTGAGACCAGCGTGGGCAACATGGCAAAAGCCCATCTTTACAAAAAATACAAAAATTAGCCAGGCGTCGTGGCATGTCTGTGGTCCTAGCTGCTTGTGGGACTGAGGCAGGAAGGATCGCCTGAGCTCTGGAGGTCAAGGCTGCAGTGAGCTGTGTTTGCACCATTGCACTCCAGCCTGAGTGACAGCGTGAGACCCTGTCTGAAAAAAAAAAAAAAACGCAAAAAGAAATGACCACCGTTTAGCAGATCTCTTTCAGAGGAAGATAAAAGCTTGTAAAATCATGTATCTTTGGAGGAAGAGAAGTAAAAGAATATTGATTAGGTAGATGCAAAATCGTAATAATCTTTTTTCTCTTTAAAGATACCAAACCTGGCTAAAAAACTTGAAGATATTAAAAAGGACTTGGATGCCAAGAAGAAACCTCCTAGTTCATGAGGCTGCCTCCAGCACTGCCTTCGGGATACACTGATGCTACTGCTCTTGAGGGCCTCCTTTACCATCTGAACCAAAAGCCTTTGTTTTCATCTTCAGCCTCAGTGCTCCCCTTCTTTGCTAGACCCTGTGTTTTTTGCAAGCAAAATGGGGCCCCAATTTGAGAACTACCCTACATTTCCAACATACTCACCTCTTCCCGTATTCACTTTCCAACTTCACGGGAGGTCCTAAGACTGGAATTATGGTGCTAGATTAGTAAACATGACATTTAATGAGTAGTGTCTTCTTTATTGTTTGCAATTTTTACTACCTTTTGTCAAGAGAAAAACTGATGAGCTTTGTGTAGCTGGTCAGATACAAATAATAGTGACTTCACAGTTTAGCAGTTATATAATGAGTACTTGTTAAACATTTGATACTAAATTATGTAGCTACAAAGTAATTAAAATTAATATCTTAGAGCTAGTTTCTCGTGAATTATTCATTTATTTTGTACTGCTAGGCAGCTCCATAGTTGCTAATTTAACCAATAAATGAATTTACTATTCATTAAAAAACAATTCTGAGAATCCTGTCAGAAATTGGGGAATGAAAAAATACGCAAAATAATGGTCTTTGTCCCAGTAGAGTTCAGTCTGTTTAGTGTGCATGTTTTTCCTTAATGATGATCTGACTTTTTTCCTTCTCAAAAGGATCATACTTGGGATTACGGGTATATTTGATACTATATGATGGATAAGTGAAAAGTTATTAAAGGCAATTTTATACCTTTTCACATTAAAAAAGGTATTTATATTATTACTTTGTAGTGATTCTCTTAAGAAAAAATGTAGCCCAAATGTATAGTAAAATCAGCAGCTCAAGAATTTCTGCTTCTCATCATAATTGATGCTTTGTTTTTTCCTGCAATCAGAATTTCCCTGTATTTGTCAAATGTATAATCAGCTCTTATATTTTTTAAATTAAAAAAATTTTAAATAATCAATTTTTCCCATGGGACAAGATACAAAAGTAATTTCATATAAAGGACCTCTCCCACCCCTTTTCTCTGACTCCTGGCTCCTCTTTGGCAAGTGACTGTTACCACTTTGCCTTATTGAGAAAGAGTCTGTGCCTAAACAAGCACGTGAAACACAAATAGTAACTATACATAGAGGTCTGCTCCTTGCCTTTTTTTTAAAAATGGAGTTCATTCTATATTAGCATGTAAGTAGCAAGGAACCTCATTCTTTTTTTTGGCTGCATATGATTCTTTTGAATAGATATAACAATTGATTTAATCTGCTACTGGTGAATGATTAGGTGGTTCTTTTGCTGTTACAGTGATAACCTCAATCCTAATGTTATTAAACATACCGATTCTGGGTATAGCTATAAGATAAAATCCTGAAAGTATAATTTACACCAAATATAGATAAGTACCCATTTCACTAGGTGTTTTTTTCCAGAGGGCTTGTTGAGCAGCCTCACTAATAATGCCATTTTTGAAGACATGGCAGGTTCAGCATCAATAAACTGGAAGAATTATTTAAAGCATCTTTTTTTCAGACAGTGATGACACTGATTCTGTATGTGTTAAGGTGATTCTGCTCTGAAAACTTGAATCTCTCCTACATGGAAGTAAGTTTTATTTCTGTCAAGATTGTCCTTATATGAGACAGATTAGGATTAAATTATTGTTTGACTTTTCCCTAGCAGTGTGATCACAGGCAAGTGACTATTCTTTTTTTTTTTTTTAACTTTTTTTTTTGCTACAGATACAGGTCTCACTCTGTTGCCCAAGCTGGAGTGCGGTGGCACAGTCTCAGTTCACTGCAACCACTGCCTCCTGGATTCAAGTGATTCTTTTGCCACAGCCTCCCGGGTAGCTGGGATTACATGTGTTCACCACCACGCCTGGCTAATTTTTGTATTTTTAGTAGAGCCGAGGTTTCACTATGTTGGCCAAGCTGGTCTTGAACTCCTGGCCTCAAGTGATCTGCCCACTTCAGCCTCCTAAAGTGCTGGGATTATAGGCATGAGCTACTGTGCCTGGCTTTTTTAAACTTTTATTTTCGATTCATTTAATAGGTAAATTGTGTGTCACAGGGGTCTGTAGCTTATTCTTTCAGAAACATTTGCATTATTTGTAGATGTGGACGTAAATACCCATCTCATGGGGGGGTTTTCATGAGAAATAATTGAGATAATGTATGTAATGTTGCACAGTGCTTTGCAGGTTAATAAATAGTAGCTGTTAGTACAAACTTGTTGCTTTTTGGCTAGTTCTGCAGCCACTTTTGAATCAGCTTATGAACCACACAAAACATTTGTCATTCTGTGATCACTGTTTTTGATACTGATGAAAATTTACAGTATCCACCTGGATCATACCATCTGGCTCACAAGATGTGATCTGGAATTGTTAGCAGAATGAAGTAGAACCTCAAAGGATGAAGGTTACCTTGTGGGTATTAAAAATGCCAGAAGCTTAGAAAGCCATTTCCAAAGAGGGATTCCTTGTTACCAACCATGATAGCATTACTATGGTGTGTATGGTCTCCCAGAGTGACTGTTTTGGGGTTGGAGGTCACTTAGCTGTTAGAAGGTTAGGTCCTTTTATATTATATCTTGTAAACAAGGCTCATTTGTACTTAGAGCTTCCCTTAGGGGTAACACTTAACCTTGCGGAGGGGATCATTTCTACCAGTGGGAGCCATCTAGCAGATCAGTTCTTAAGTTCAGCTTCACCATGTAAACGGCTACACAGTACACACAGGCTGACTTCACATTCACCATTCAGATACCCTCTCCTAGTTTTATGTTCTTGGCAGCAGCGAAAAGGACCTCAAGCTCTCAGGCAAGATGATCTTCCCTGAGATACATGTTGGACAAACCCAGAACCATCATAGATTTGAGGGTGTAGTTGAAAATTCCTACTGTGAATGGGGTTTGTGGTACTGAAAGTTACCCCTTCCCTGTGATTTTTGTAGGAACCCTTGCCACACAGATCAGTGGAGTGGTGGGAAGAAGCACCACAAGACATGCCTTTTTTTTTTTTCTTTGAAAAATGTTTGAAAGCTCCTACTAATATGGTTAGGAAAACTCCCGTGACATTTGACCATAAAATGAGAGTTGCTCAAAATGCTGGTGTGGATTACTCTGACATGTGAAATACAAGACTTCAGGATCAATGCTGAAGACTTCAGGAAACTTAATAAATACATTGAACTTGAAAAGTTTATCCCTAAACTGTAATCCTCCCAAACAAAACAAAAAGTGAGAAAAAAAACCGTTTTAAAAATTGTGAAACAGGCTGAATTTTATAAATTGAAGTTAACCAAAATGACATCTTTAGACCTTTCTTCTGATTTGGTATTTTATGTTATTAAGCAGTTACCTGATTCTGATTTAAAGGAGTAATTTTATTATTTCTCTTTTTCTACTCATTTACTCAGTGAGTTTGTGTGACTATAGACAAAAGTAGGCTGTGTGGTTTTTCTGGTTGTCTATACATGTTGGCTCATAGAGCATGTGTACACATGTGTAATGTTTTCATTTCCACTAAGCTGTTTGCTCCCTGAATACTATGCTAGTGTTTGTTTTTCTGCTGAGGTCTCCCACGTTTTTACTGCCTTTTCTGAGTTACTCCTCCTGTAGGAACGTTATATACTATACTGGAGCAAATGAGCCTTTTCTTAAACTTTCAGTCTTGGGTTTTGCATGTAGCATTTCCATTCCATGCAGATGAATGAGTTCTTTTTCCTCTATTGACTATGAGGGCCTGGCCTTGCCGAAAGGAAGAGGGTGGTGAAGGGAAAATATTTAGAGATCTTGCCTGGTCTTAATAGGGAGTTTATGACACTTAGATTTTCAAGTGTATAGTTTATACCTTTCCCAAATCTGATTGCAGTGTATTCAGTCAAGTATTGAAGACCTAACATGTGGCATGTTTTGGAAGGCACAGGGAAAGAAAAATGAACTGAGAACAGTGAGACCTTGTGGAAATTCCCAGGGTGGGATGTTGCAAACCATGAGTCCTGGACCTGCCTGAATCACAGCCTCGGTGGGAGGATCTTATGAAAGGTACAGTGCAGCTGCATCATCTTACACAGTTGTACAGGACTGGGACCGAAAAAGGTGCAGCTACATGAACAGTACATGCAATATGTTCAGTGTTCATTCAGTGAGGACAGCCCTACGGAGCTACCTGTATACTCAGATGGTCTCGGTTTCCTTTTTGAATTTCTTTTTTTTTTTTTGAGATGGAGTTTCACTCTTGTTACCCAGGCTGGAGTGCAATGGCGTGATCTTGGCTCACCACAACCTCCGCCTCCTGGGCTCAGGCAATTCTCCTGCCTCAGCCTCCTGAGTAGCTGGGATTACAGGCACGCGCCACCATGCCCAGCTAATTTTTTGTATTTTTAGTAGAGTTGGGGTTTCACCACCAGGATGGTCTTGATCTCCTGACCTTGTGATCCACCCATCTCGGCCTCCCAAAGTGCTGAGATTACAGGCGTGAGCCACCGCACCCGGCTCCTTTTTGAATTTCTTGGTATACTGAGAGTGATTCTAGTGTTTAGAGACTTTTTTCAAACACAGCAGTCCCCAAATACGAAGCCAGCTACCTCATTTGTTGTATAGCTGAACAGACGGATTTGTTCTGATGTTGGAAGGAAAACTAGCTGTTTTTTATTTATTGAAAGTTGGTACATGAGTCTTTTGGAATGTGTAAATGCTAATGTGAAAGATTACATACCATATACTTTATGTCGATTTAATGGAATTTCAAAGGCAACTTTGACTAAGCAAATTTGATAGAGAATTGACTTAAGAGTAAGATGCAACTAAGTGACTTTGGCTCACACTTTCATATCCATAAAATATTAGAAGATAAAATCAAATTATAACATATTTGCAAGAGACAAATGACTATTAAGGAGGGCTAGACGTTATCCAACAATGGAGTGATTTAGATGACAAGGAGTCATTAATCATATCTGCCATTTCCTGTCACTGGAGTGGGCAGCCTTGCCCGGCTTGAATCTCTAGGTCTGTGAAAGAACAGTGCTGTGCTTGAGAGCAGTTAGCAGACCAGACTGAAATAAACGCTTTCTAAATTAGCTAGTTGAATGCATTCACTACTCAGAGCACCTGGCAGCAGTTGCTGCTGGGAAGTTGGCACAGCTTTCTCTTCAGGAGTGAGTCAGGTTCTCACATAGTTGAATACTGGCCAGTAATTCCAAGTCCATTTAATTCTAAGTCAACTTTTCTTTCTCTCATAGACTCCCAGATTCTTACTGATTATCTACACCTTTGTCCTACTGTCTGCCTTGGGGGCAAAGGATCTGAGTTCTGTAATGGGAAATAAATGTGATGTTTGGCTGCTCTGATAATAGGAGTAACACCCTGACTCTTTTGAAAATTTAAAGCAAAATGACTTTAGAGATGTTGACTGGATCAAATCAGCTGTTGGACAAATAATTTTGGTGTAAGCTAATTCACAAGGCAGAAAGCACGAATGTTCCCATTAACCCTGGTCAGTTAACATTCTGTGGTTGGAGCAGATGCATGTGGTGGTTTCTTTTGCTCCAAAAGAAACTTTACAACTCATGGATGCTTGATCAACTAAGGGAGTGATTTTATAGATAAATTATTGTGAGAAAACTACCTGTGCTGTCAGTAGTAACTTGAAATCACTTAAAACAGTACAGTAATTGTAGAGGACTCCCTTTCCCATAAAGCATATTTAACAAGCAACTGATGGTAGAAGTAAAAAATACGTAATGCCAACAAACTAGAGGGATTGAGAGGTATAGCCAGACATGTAGCAAGGTATCTATCCTGGAGAAATGGCATGGTCTTCAGGAAGAGAAAGAAGCCTTGATTTCCAGACAGATTTTTCTCATGGGACACATTTATTGAGCACTTAACAGCCATTGTAGAAGTTGCTGGGGGATTTCAAGAGACATAGACATCTCTTCTCCCTCAAGGAGCTCATGTAGGGACTTGTAGGAAGTGACAGATGTGTTTGGACCTTTGGCTACTACCTGGTACTTTGTTT